CGCACTACCCGAAGGATGGACATATTTGAAACACGGACTTCGGTGGGGGGGGAACCAAGGGCAACACACGTAACCTAAACATATGTACACCCATAATTTGCTGAAATAAAAAAAAAAGAGAGAGATGTTTTAGAAGATTCTTTTTTGAGCATCTTGTCTGAGAAAAATAGTTGGCAGTAAGAACTGAATGTAGAGTTGAAAGAGGACTACCAGTTTTCATTTTCAATAAAAACCTCACATATTTTGAGTAACAAATGAAGAGACAATTCTAGGAAATTCTATTAGGAGCCTTTCTGGTTTTTCCAGTTCCTCTTTAGAGCCCAAACCCTATGACCAGGGTTTTCAAGGACAGGAGCCAAAGCCTTCTTAATCACTGCGGCGCTTCATGAGGTCCTATTCTATCTGTTAACTGGCCCAATACATCTTCCGAGAGTGTTTCTGATAAGTAACTAAACTGGTTCCACTGTATTTAATTTAGCATTCAGAATGTGAAAAATCTATTCCAAATTCATCATATTAAATACTGTGTATTTCAGACTTAAACCATTGGATATTGAGTTTATGAAGCGTTTGCATGAAAAAGTGAATATCATCCCACTTATTGCCAAAGCAGACACACTCACACCAGAGGAATGCCAACAGTTTAAAAAACAGGTGAGCCGATGAGGTTAACTTGGGTTTCTCATACATTCACGTAATATGCAATTTTTATTATTTTTAGTATAATGTGTTACAGTCCATTTCTCTTGCTGCTTTATTGTGTTGTCATATATATTGTATCAAAAATAACTCTTGAAAATAATCTTCTGCCTTAGTTTTCTACTCAAAACTCTTGTCCATTATCATAATACCTTTATCCTTGGTCATTTTTAAATAAGGCTATTTTAAATATTTTGTTTATATGCCACCCCCTCCCCCTACACCCTTTAGAATTATTTTCTTAGCATGAATTTTCAGGAATAGGATTATTCTTTCAGAGGGTATGATTATTTTTATGGCTCTGTATCCCCTCATCCCCACCCCTGTGCATTTTATCATGGTGCTATCTCAAAAAAAAATAATCAAATTCCTTTTATTTTGGTATATCTGCTTCACTATAACTTTTCTAGCGTGGTCATTTTTATTTCAAAAACTTTTAGAATGAAGTGGTACCTAATTGTTTCTTTAGCTTTTAATTTTATTTTCCAGAAAGGCTGAACATTTTTTAAAGCAGACACTTACTTTTTTTAATTTCTTTTGTGAACATCCTGTTCAAATATTTTTGAGCCATAGAACTTGGTATTGTCTGTATGTGCTTATATGGGTTTATTTTATTTGTTTGTTTTTTTGAGACAGGGTCTCACTGCGTTGTCCAGACTAGAGTGCAGTGGCTTCATCATAGTTCACTGCAACCTCAAACTCCTAGACTCAAGCAATCCTCCTGCCTCAGCCTCTTGAGTAACTGGGACTACAGGCACTTGCCACCATGCCTGGCTAATTTTTTAATTTTTTGTAGGGACAAGGTTTCACTATCATCCAAGCTGCTCTCTAACTCCTAGCCTCGACCTCCCAAAGAGTTAGAATTACAGGCGTGAGCCACCACACCTGGCCTATATGGGTTCTTTTTATTCTGGGTGTAAAGTTCTCTCTCATTTTAAGAAATATATTTCCTTTTCTGTCTCTTGTGCTTTATATTTTATTTTGTTTTCATTGTCCTTTATGTGATATATATAGTAGTTTATGCCATTTTTTAAAAACCTACGACCCTGAGATTAAGAATATCATGCTCTACCAACTGAGCTAGGTGAGAGACGACTAAGCTATTTTTCTAAACTCATGTCCAGTTATCTTAATAATATTGAGTTAAGTAATAATTCATTTTCCTCACTTTATTGTGTTTGGTTTGTTATATATTACATTTTATGAAATGTACTGTCAATTTTTAGAAACTTTCTCCTAGTAGTCAGTTTTTTATTTTAGGCCAGTGTTAATATTTTTTAAAACACAGCAACTTTGTATAATATTTTAAAATAGATCTTAATTCTTTCTTACTGTCCTTATAGTCCCCTTTGTAACAAAATACTTCGTTTTCACCTTTTTCAATGTGAATTTTAGAATATACCTTGAATATACCTGTTTCAAAAATAAAAACTTGTTGAAATTTGCTTTGAAGTTGTGTTAAATCCATATAAGTTTCAGAATGTTTCAGTACATTGTTTTTAGTATATTTATTATTTCTCTATTTATTTACATTTTATTCACTGCCATTTTGATTTTGTA